TCCCAGCACTTTGGGAGGCCGAAGTGAGAGGATTGCCTGAATCCATGGGTTTGAGCTTGGGTAACTTGGTGAGACCTCATCTCTACAATAAATCAAAAAATTAGCCAGGCATGATGGCATGTGCCTGTTCGAGCTACTTGGAAGGCTGAGGTGGAAGGATCACTTGAGTCCAGCAGGTTGAGGCTGCGGTAAGCCGTGAGCATGCCTCTGCTCTCCAACCTGGGTGACAAAATAAGACTCCAACTCAAAAAAAAAATTTTTTTTAGTAGTTCTGCCGGGCTCAGTAGGTCAACCTGTAGTCCCTGCACTTTGGAAGGCGGAGGGAAGTGGATTGCCTGAGCCTGCAGGCTTGAGACCAGCCCAGGCAACCTGGTAAGACGTCGTCTCTACAATCAATCAAAAATTAGCCAGGCGTGGTAGCACGCACCTGTAGTTCTGGCTACTTGGAAGGCTGAAGTGGAAAGATCACTGGAGCCCAGGAAGTTGACACTGGGGTGGCCATGAGCGTGCATGCCCCTGCACCCCAGCCTGGGCAAAGGAGTGAGACTCCAACTCAAAACAAACCAACATAAAAAAGGACACAAGTAAGTTACAAGAGAAATGCTCCATACTCTCATGCCTCTCACTTCTGTCCCCATTGGTCCTCTCCCTCAGCCCATACCTATGGCTTCTTCTGTAGGAGGAAGACTTAGCTGAATACATTAGTATAACCCATAATGGATGGTGGCCATGTTATGGCCTCACTCAGTGGTTATCTTAAAGGACAGTCACGAGGGAAAGTCCTTCCAGTGGGCAGAGCTTTGGGTAGTACGCTTAGTTATTTCCTCCACGTGGAGGGAAAAATGGTCTGAGGTAAGAGTATACGAGGAGGGACCCCCCCAAAAAAAAAACAGAATTATCTTTTGGGGGATGGGCCCCTTGTAGTACAGGCTTCCCCCTCTGTAAGTGTTTTAGGAACCCATTAGTTTTTATCTGGAAGTTTCGAGAAGGTTGCATCATAGTTTGCAGAAGAAACGTTCCGAGTTTTGACGAACAAGTGACTGGTTCTCCCACCATGACAATGTACCTGCCCACACAGTGCTGAGTGTTCCATTTTATGACCAAAACTGGCACGATTGCCGGGCTCGGCGGCTCAGCCTGCAATTCCGCGCCTTGGGAGGCTGAGGTGAGTGGATTGCCTGAGCCCGCGGGTTCGAGACCCGCCTGGGCAACTTGGCGAGACCTCCTCTCTACAATAAATCAAAAAATCAGCCGGGCGTGGTAGCGCGCGCCTGTAGTTCTAGCTACTGG